AGTTCAATGGTGGTCTCCGTTTTGCGCTACGAGGTCTAGAATTGCTAAAAATTGAGTTCAAAAATTTGACGTCATCAATTTTTAACAGTTTTTTCGCTATAACTTGGCCAAAAAAAGAGGTATCGATCTAAAATTTGGTATGTATATCGAAGAGCGCAGGGACTATCACATATATTCCGGTTTTTTCGAAATTCGAAAAAATTTTGAAATTTTTTTGAGTTTTTCTAAAAAAATCAATTTTTTTTTATTTTTGGGGGTCAAAATCCCAAAATTTCGAAAATCCGAGATAGCAGTTTTGTAGCGCCGTCTTTTCTCTACACAACCACATAAAGAACTTTAAAATTGCTTGTTAGCTGTAGAATTGGTGAGCGTTTCAAGATGTCATGTTTTTTGCTCATTTTTGCTCGAACATGACCTCAGTTTGACCTCAATAACTCCTGACCTGAGGTGACCTGTGACTTGAAATTTTGTGTGAAGGTGTCAAATTGATGCCTGGTAAGGTACCCAAAATTTGGCGGCGCTGCGCGCCGCCGTTTTCTCGCTATTTAAGAAAAACCACAGGGGGGGGCCAAAATGGCCCCCCCCATCAGGGCGCGGGTTAACCACCCTCCTAGGAGTAAAGTTAAATTCAAATGCAGGGTAGTCATGCCTACTCTTAGCAAAAAAATGAACCTATCCGGCTTTCACAAATTACCCGCGTAAGGCGTAGCGCGTCATAACAACTCGGCCTAAAGTGTCTCCCAGGACCCATTTTATCACTTTTACACCTAATACAAAATTATCATTGTCCCACTCTCAGCGACCTTCACTTGTAACCTGTCTCTCGAGACAATGCCAGGGCAGACCAGTGATTCGACGCAGTTCACACTTTCCAACTGTTCCGTTCATCCGTCCTTTCCATCTTCAGGATAGTAGAATCCTTCTCCTCCATGCCTCAATCCCTGTTTCGAGCTGGACGGGCAACTATATCGCATTCGAGCAGCTCCCATAGCACAGGTCTGTAGCCGGATGCAGTAAGTGCTTGGGAAGGGGGGTGGGGCTGGTTCATGGGTGGCCTGGATGGATGGGCTCAGCCTAGACGATTCACCATGCCCGCTCAGACCAATGTTTTCCCTAATTCCAATAATGCTTCTAGCTCTAAAATGGTCTGATTAGACAGGCCTACTCTCAGTAAACAAACAAGCAATGCTTCACATCAACCACCTTATCAATCCGTGCAAATCATGAATTCTAAAAATAAACTATTATTTTCCCAGACGCCCTCATCACCCCTGCCGAAGGGGTCAGTTGCCCCCCCCCCCTCCCCCGAGGGGGCATATCCCACATTTGCCGACTCTGGGAGTTATCTTTTCTAACGTAAGGGTCAGCGGATTGTATCCAGAGAATGACAATGCCTCATGTCGTCTGATACCAGACTACGTCCCCATTAGTTAGTACATAGTAGATCCAATTTTCAAAGTACCTCGCTATCTCTCAGCTCCGTTAGCATCGCCGACCGTTTGATGCAGGTCCATTTCTTACCATACGATTTTCAGATGCTCGAAAACCCATTGCAGTTAGTGAACAGCCCGATAATCTGCGAGAGAAAAAGAAATGAGTGATAGCTGTTTAAGTGAGTTAATGTGAAACGTGTCGCAACATTCACGTGCAAATGCACCTTGCACTTTTTACATACCTACACGTCCCTCACGACTACAAAACGAGAGAGAGAGAGAGAGAGAGAGAGAGAGAGAGAGAGAGAGAGAGAGAGAGAGAGAGGGGGAGGGAGGGGGAGGGAGGGAGGGAGAGAGGGAGGGAAGGAGAGAGAGTTGGGGAAGCGTGGAAGAGAGGGAGGAAGATTGGGGAGAGAAGGAAAGAACCCACAACGTATCTCAAGTGAAGTCTATTTGATGTTCCTATACTTCCGCTGCACTGCCAATTTGCCCCTCGTTGCGTTTTCGCAACACCCCTGTCTTTCCGATGTGCCCAACGTTGCGTTACCGCAACACGACTGTAGTCATATTTGAAAATAGTCACAAACCCTATTTGCAGCATAATTTGTTAATAAAATGCATATTCTAGCTATTGTAGGGACTCTGCAGAATATGTTCACACATTATTCATTACGATATAATTAATCACTTTATCTACTTATTTTGGTTTTCGTGACGTCATCACTGACGGGACCTTCGACTTCCCTCTGGGAGCTCTGGACGGTAAGTTACCGGCCGCACAGACTTGTAACTGCGTAGCATCATGCGCACAACCATGCTAAACGCGCTGAAACTTGTCTCATCGGTGAGACGCCATTACACACTTCTCAAGATTTGATCACGTCGACGCTTGCTTGTGTTGCGAAAACGCAACGAAGGGCGTAAATGGGTTAAATGCCTTGCGAAATTGGTGCAATGATTTCGTAGATGTTAAACAATAAACATTCAAAAGTATCGGTGAGCCCTTTTATCACGTGTGAAGATGCAGTTTGTTATATGAAAACGTCATCAACGAAAAGTAGCGTCTTTGAAATTGCATCTACAAGAATATATTTTAGTTTCCAGCACTTCAAGAGCGAGCCCAAAGCATATCGATGATTCAAATGTCAGACATTCCTACTCACACATCGTACCACCGAAAGTCGTCTCCTTCAGACAGTTCTCCCCAAGACCTAACGGGAGCAGCCCAGAACAGACCGGAGCAGCTAGCAGACCGGAGCAGCCGGAGCAGGCTGTAGCAGGCCGGACCACAAACAGAGGCAGGGTGTCATCAGCGATGGCGGCCGAAGATACCGGTTGGACATGCTCCGGTCCGGGACGCCTGCTGCTACGGAGACCGGTATCGGTACGGCCATCTGACACACTGGGTGTACCGGCCGGCGGGACGGCTCCATGAGCCAGCAGAACGACAGTGATCGCTTCAGAGAGGGTTCATGATCCAGCCGAGGTCTGGTGGTTGGTCGCGTCGTTTTTGAAACCATCAGCAGCGTTCGGAAGCTGACGATTTCATTGTTCTCCAATCCGTAGACAAACCATCTCCTGTAGAACTTAGCCGCGTCACGAAAGAACCGTCTAGTAGTGCCTCCATCCTGAGTCGCCGCTGTCGACCTCAGATGCTCTACTTTTCTCTCAAAAGCTGCTGCTCCCAATGTTTCCGTCGCTCTCTGCCGCCCTCCGCGCCTCTTGCCCCCTAAATCACCCTCAGTCTCCCTCTACCACCCTCAGCCACCCTCAGACGCCTTCGGTCGGTCTCTCTGCCGCGGTCGTAGCCTTGGATATCACGATAACACGTAGCACGGGCGTCGCGACACCAGCCGAAAGGCCGACTGAAAAGAGAGACGTGCACCGCAAAAACGCGCCAACAAGCGCAGACAAACGACCTCAAACGGGGACACGGCCACCGAAACGGGTGCCCACGCCGCCGCCGCGCCGGTCCCAGCTCAGGTGCCAGGATGTGTCGGTGCCAGCGGCAGGTTTTCCCAAGGGATGGCGGCAGGAAGACGGCGAGAAGATGGGGAGAGGGAAAGAGAGAAAAAAGAGGGGGTACGACCGGAAGCCAGGGAGAGAAGCACGCAACTGCATCCATTGATGTTATACCAAAAGATTGGCCACAATCACCTATCGGCTATCAGGTTCTCCAGGCCTCGGAGACGTGGAGTGGCCGGCCGCGGGGTGGAACGCCAGGTGTGCACGAGAGCGTGTCCTGACGTACATATACCGGGTGTGACAGGCACTGTCGGCGCCGCCCGCCCCTCGCCGCGGGGTCAGCCGTTTCATCCTCCGCCTCGTGCGGTCAGGCGAGGCTCCCCCGCCTCCAGGAACGAATTCGTCGTCTGCGCGCGCCACTTCGATCGCCAGCACCCAGCTACCTCGCTAAGCACTGTTGAAGATCACTTGAGAGTTGTAGCGATACTTCGTGACAGTCGACGCAGGCGGTGGCGACGGGCGACGGCTTCAGGCGACGACGGGAAACGGGCGGTGGGCGACGGGCGGCGGCGGGCGGTGGGCAGACGGACCAGGACGGAGGGCGGCTGGCCGGATGGTATCGGCCAGCCTGTTTTTGTTTCGAGGCGGCACTATCTGATGCGGGCGCATCCCGCGCGCGGCCAGCCCCACTGAGAATGTCGGTCGGGCATCGCGGCATCGCTGTGGAGCCGACCGAGACGAACTGAGACAAAGTGAGGCGGAGAGCAGTCACAGTGACCGCCAAATTATAATGTGCTGTGATACTCGTCCGATACTCGATAGAGATGTTAAGCGCTGCAAGCAATGATTTCTGCGGTGTTTGTGTATACACAAACACCGCAGCAATGCAATTATAATTGCATTGCTAGCATTGTTCAGCGAGGCTACATTAGCTGCAAAAAAAAAGATAGACGAATGTAAATTTTCGCTATCCAGCGCGGGTAATGCTTATCATAAAGATCGGAATCGATTGAATGTCACAGGAAGTTTTCAAATGATCGTAATTAAAGTTCCATAATATGTCAACACTCCATAATTCGTTACTGGGTTATTTGTGAGCATGCGTAACCAATCCGCGGCTTCATCGCTGAAGTCCTCCCGAGAGGACCATCTCATGACCGGGGCCAGGGCATCCCTCAGTGTCATACTGACCACAGGTGCCGGGCCCAGGGGTGATGGCAGGACCCGTGGGTGGCAGGATGACGAATGAGCTGGTTCATATCGCGACTTTTTGTACACTCTACAGGTTCCCCGCGACCTCTACCAGCATAGATAGGTAGCGGACTGAGATGCTTTTGTCGTCGAGCATTACGTCGACCGGAAGACTCGTTATTCATGTTCTTTTTTAGTTGTCATCCGCCAAGGTGACATACCTCAAAGATATTGTCCTACGACTGAAACGACGTCACATCGTGTATAAACAGTTGACAACACTCAAAGACAATGGATACTTATATGCCGTCATAAACGTCAATAGAGTGAGATGTTGTCTGTCGTGTTGACTGCAGTTATTATCGTTTTAATGAGATGTGCGACGTCTTTCTGACGGCCGTTCCGTTTCAGGTACTGCGGCTTCGACTTCAACAGCGCCGCGCACAGAAAGAACGCCACACGGGAGGCCACAAACACCCTGAAGGCGTGGCTCAAGGAGCACAAAAAGAACCCCTACCCCACCAAGGGCGAGAAAATCATGCTGGCCATCATCACCAAGATGACGCTGACCCAGGTGTCGACGTGGTTCGCCAACGCCCGCCGGCGACTGAAGAAGGAGAACAAGATGACCTGGGAGCCGCGCAACCGGACCGATGACGATGACGACAACGATGAAAATGGGAACGAGAAGAAGGAAGACTGTGATGAAGCCAAAGATGAAGGTAAGAAATATGTTAGAGTCCTAGTCTATTTATATGTCTTTATCTTACGCCAGGGATGAATCATTCCAAGGTTTTTTTCAGTGTTGTATATCCGTGTCTTCTCTCCATCTCCCTTATTTTCTTTTCCTGAACGTGACCCATTATCTTCCAGTGCCGCATTCCACCGCATACCATACGAGTATCCAACAAACTAACGCCCGACTTCCAAGCTGCTCACGGCTGTTCACCTAAGCAGTAGTAACTCATCTCTGCGGAGTAGCCTCTCACCACGCGGCACGCGCCGCCCAACCCTCCCGCAGTGTGCCACCCGCGGTGCGCCGCGCGCCGCGCCGCATCGCCTCCGCGCCGTAATTGCCTCTTTCTTTTATCACGCCGATTCCGGCACGCCATTATTCACCCATTATCGGCGCGGGGCGCGCGGGCAGAATCAATATGGCTGTGGTGGTCAGTCGGCTCTCCGGCCGTCGACAGTTATCAGGAGGAATGGACGAGCGGCCGGCTGCCGACGGTCCGCCTCCGGTGGGGGCGGCCGGACGCTCAGATATAAATGGAGGCGACGATCTGTCCGGAAGGGAGCCCGATTGGCCGCTCGGCTCCGGATTAGGTGAATCAGACGCCGCGGAGTGTGGCCAGATGGACGCGACTGAAGCCAGACGCTCCTCCGGTGGATGGTCTGGTGCACGCTCCACTAGACGCTCTAATGATTGCCTCTGTGAGCTACCCTTTGAACAGCCTTGTGGGCGATCTGGAGCGCAGTTAGGTGACCGCTCTGGTGGACAGCCTTGTGGGCAGTCCGGCGGTCCGGAGGACACGCAGGGACCGGGCCGGGGAGGCCGGTCGGCCCGCCAAACGACGTCGTCCATTTGCCCGAGATGGCAGGTGGACAAGCGGTCCGGTCCGAGCTCGAGCCCCGATATCGTGGCGCCGCGTCGCGAGTTGTCTGTCGGCGCTCCGGAAATTGGCCACTAGCAGACCAAATGTTTGAACAACGGCCATCCCGAGATGGGATGAGACAGGGTTAGGTTTAGCCCTAGCGGCAGATCAATATTCATGTCAGAAATATCGAAGCACTTTTCCATTTCACAGTCCAACCTCCACACCGACACCACTCTTTCCATGAAAGTTCAACAGCCTGGATCGAATGGCGTGATAATGAGTGGGGCTGCCCGTATATTAACCCCCAGACACGTGGCCTTATCTCCCTTATCGTCTAAATTAAAGCCGCAGACGGCTGCGAAAATCCACCTACCGCCGTACTGTGACACCACTACTATCCTGTATGGCACGCTCAAACTGACTCACTTCACCGTCAGCACACACTGCGGCATAACCTCCGCACAGTGCGGCATACCCGGCGCGCACGGCGGCGAACGGTGGCGCGCGGTGCGCGGCAGCTGTGTACGTATTCGGTGGGTAATCAGGCGTCCGATGCACGCGCGCTCGCGCCTGTAAACAGTCGCTACCGGTCTGCGCGCCTGTCGGCCGGACTGGCGAACGGCTCGGGTATCTGATGAGACGGAGGTTAGCCGGAGCTCACTGACAGCGGTAAAGGAGCGTGGGAGGAGAGATCTGAGCACAAAAAGAGGTGTTTGTATTCTTGAATAAACTTGTACTGCCTCGTTTGGAGGGGGAAGCGTTAGATTGTAGTTTTGCTAGTCGCCACCCCAGCCGGGTCCGGTTTTAGGATCTTGATTCCAGAGACTTGGTTTGGTGTTCTGAACTCGATCATTTCTGGACTTTTAGCTAATGAGCCGGTCTTCTGTCCTGCCGTTTTCTTCTGTCGTTGTGTTCTAAACGCGTCACAGTTCTACCGCGTTGTCCCGTTGGCTGCTCTCCGCTCCGGTTACCCTGTCCTGTTACCCTGGCCCGCTGTTCTGTCCTGTACCCTGTTCTATAATCCCGCTCCGCCCTGCTGTCCTGTTCCCTTCCACCCTGGCAAACCGCTCTACCTCTGTCATCTGTCGCGTCGCGACTGTCCACTGTCCTTTGGACGCCCGCCACGCCCGGCCGGGCGTCCGCCGAAAGTGGACACGAAGCAGACGGCTCGATTTTCCGGCTAATTGCTGGCCGGCCCCGTTCGGCTAAACGGTAAACCATGTCGCCGGCACGTCGGCCCGAGAGTGGCCACAGGAAATTGCCGGGGATGTGCGGCAACGAGACTGAATGCGGAAACAATGGGGGCCGCAGCCGTCACCGGAGACTGCTGGCCACTGTTATTGGATTGCCGGATCGAACCCTTTCGCCCCGTCAGCACAGAGAGGGAGACGGCGGTGACGGCTGCCCGAGATGGGCTTCTAAATCGGCGGCACTGGTGCCGCACTAGAGGTCCTTGATGCGGTGAGATTTATTTGACTGAGTGCTAGCTGCGAAGGTTTTATCTCTGTAACTACTGAATGAAGATTTACTCGCGGTCTGCGATATATTTTAGCGGCGTGCACATCTCGGAAACATTTTTGGTTGTAAACCTTCACTGCAGACTCACGCGCCGCGGTGTCGCATAAAGTGACGCAGGCGCTCGTTTGAGTCAAGTTAACTAAGCGTCAGCCGATATTTTACGACGTCGTACACTGAGAGCCACCGTTTGCGGCGCTCTAAATTGCAGCCTAACGGCCCATTGATTCGGCCCGGGCACGTCGAAGTGCTAATGCTGTTCACTATGCCACTGGCAGCCGCGCGACTCGCCGGTTGATGGCGGCTTCCGTCAGGACCGGTGTCGGCGTTGGATTGGAGTAATGTGACGACGTGACAGGCCGTGTCGGTGACGACAGACGACGCGTCGGTGTGTCAGAGATCATAGGAGGGGCACTACGACATGAGAGTGGACCAGCTGGGGTCTCGGTCTATATGAACCAGTCAGAGATTAGTTCAAGCGGTCCGTGAACTGAACCAGTCAGTCGTCGTTGTCCTAGGGTTAACCCGCGACCTGGTGGGGGGGGGCTATTTTTTGCCCCCCCCCCCTCCAGACTTTTCAATATATCTCCAGAACCGCTGCGCCGATCGTCACCAAACTTTCAAAACCCTCCCGGACATCAATTTTACACATTGTGACCAAAAAATTTTCCAAAAGCTATGATAGGTTGGCCGGAAATGACGTCAGAGTGACGTCATGTTCTGCCGTTTTCGACCCAAAAAAGGGTTTCGCGGGAAGAGCTGTCAGGCCTATAGCTTTGCAAATACAGAAAAATGTTTAGGACATAAAAGCTGTAGAATTGACAGGGCTACAAAACTGCTATCTCGGATTTTTGAATTTTTTTATTTTGACCCCCAAAAATCAAAAAATAGATTTTTGGGATATAACAGTCAAAAAATCCAAAAAGTTTTTTGAATTTCGCAAAAACCGGAATATATGTGATAGTCCTTACCGCCTTCCATCCACATACCAAATTTTAGATTGATACCTCTTTTTTTGGCGAAGTTATAGCGAAAAAACTGTTCAAAATTGATGACGTCAAATTTTCAAACTCAATTTTTAGCAATTCTAGACCTCGTAGTGCAAAACAAAGACCACCATTAGACTCCCCGTGACGAGCTGCATCGAATCAATACCCATTTTATGCAAAAATATCAACTTTGAAATTTGACCTTTTTTGACATGACCTTGACCTGACCTCCACCAGAAAGTGACCTAAACCGTACCTGATGGTCTTATAACCAACACCATTGGGTTGGAAATGAAAAACTGTCCATAAAACATGCATCGCACAACCTTAGTAAAGTTGGGTTCATGTGGTGACCCTTGGTGACCTTTGGTGACCTGACCTGTGACCTGACCTGGTATGACCATTGACCAGTGACCTCGAATAGGAACATATGTACTAGACAACTGACGTCTTATCGCTGATTTTCGACAAAATGCGTTTTACTCGGTGTTATAGCGCTTTCCCTAGAAGCCCCGTGAACGGTGAAACATTTTATCTTTGACCTGACCTGTGACGTCATCGGTGACCCCGAGGTCAATGAAATTTGGTTTCCCTCGACAAATTTGACAGGGTGTCGAACGCCGTTTGAATTTTGCGGATCCGTCCAGTAGTTTCGGAGATACGAGGGGGGGGGCAAAAAATAGCCCCCCCCCCCCCACCAGGTCGCGTTATAAACAGACCCCACCAGGGCGCGGGTTAAATGAACTCATCTGCCTCTTTAGGATAATGATCAGTAGACTTAGTCGAACTGTACAATGCTACGGAAGATAAAACTATGTCTAAATCTGGCACACCCCATTCAGGAAAAGCCGTAAGTTTGTTCGCGCCACAGAACATGGGTTTCGTTGGAGCAGCGACTCCGCCCACTTTTCTAAGGCTTCCTTCGAGCCTGGAAGACCGCAAAACGTGTTGTGAAACAAGGCCGAGCGCAGGATTAGCACCATCCTTTCTGACTTCTGTGCGCCTCGGGCTGGTTCATTAGTGCTGAGTGGATTTCCGAAGCCAACTAATTACTGTGACGGTCGTATTTTCTGCAGTAGTTGTGCTAGGTTTACAGAAAAGAATTTCGTCAGGACGGAAACGCAGAAACAGACATCTGTTTTGACATAGTTGTCCGTTACGCAGTTATACATCTGTTATACAGTATCAGTGACACAACTTCAGTCAAAAGCAACCTTATGTGATATTATTTGCGCAATACCGCCCACAGCTAAGTTATTGCAGGCCATTGTTAGAACAGCTCAAATGTGTCTCTCTTCAACGCCTCCAGACCGGTAATACCGGATGTCTTGCTTGATTTTCATTTGTCAGAACGCTGTGCCATTGTGCTACTGCATAATCCTCGAAGACAAATGGCTATCTCTTTTAGCGATAATGCCTTGATATCAACACTTAACACCCTCCTATTCGATGTCAAATTCAGCATTTTTGTTGTCATTCCCAGTGATGCTTATCATACGTAATGCGTTTTTATTCTAAAGCTTTAAGCCAATTAAGGACACATTTAGAAAGAAATACTGCCCATAAACACTTCGACTTCGGTGTAAAACACAGCAAAAACAACGTCGGAATGTGACAACC